AGTTATCTCCTTTTGTATCTATATATAGTGTACATCTATGATAGCATCCACAGAGTTATCTCCTTTTGTATCTATATATAGTGTACATCTATGGTAGCATCCACAGAGTTATCTCCTTTTGTATCTATATATAGTGTACATCTATGGTAGCATCCACAGAGTTATCTCCTTTTGTATCTATATATAGTGTACATCTATGATAGCATCCACAGAGTTATCTCCTTTTGTATCTATATATAGTGTACATCTATGGTAGCATCCACAGAGTTATCTCCTTTTGTATCTATATATAGTGTACATCTATGGTAGCATCCACAGACTTATCTCCTTTTGTATCTATATATAGTGTACATCTATGATAGCATCCACAGAGTTATCTCCTTTTGTATCTATATATAGTGTACATCTATGATAGCATCCACAGACTTATCTCCTTTTGTATCTATATATAGTGTACATCTATGGTAGCATCCACAGACTTATCTCCTTTTATATCTATATAGTGTACATCTATGGTAGCATCCATAGACTTATCTCCTTTTATATCTATATAGTGTACATCTATGGTAGCATCCACAGACTTATCTCCTTTTATATCTATATAGTGTACATCTATGGTAGCATCCACAGACTTATCTCCTTTTATATCTATATATAATGTACATCTATGGTAGCATCCACAGACTTATCTCCTTTTATATCTATATAGTGTACATCTATGGTAGCATCCATAGACTTATCTCCTTTTATATCTATATAGTGTACATCTATGGTAGCATCCACAGACTTATCTCCTTTTGTATCTATATATAGTGTACATCTATGATAGCATCCACAGACTTATCTCCTTTTATATCTATATAGTGTACATCTATGGTAGCATCCACAGACTTATCTCCTTTTATATCTATAGTCAGCTATAGTGTACATCTATGGTAGCATCCATAGACTTATCTCCTTTTATATCTATATAGTGTACATCTATGGTAGCATCCACAGACTTATCTCCTTTTGTATCTATATATAGTGTACATCTATGATAGCATCCACAGAGTTATCTCCTTTTGTATCTATATATAGTGTACATCTATGGTAGCATCCATAGACTTATCTCCTTTTGTATCTATATATAGTGTACATCTATGATAGCATCCACAGACTTATCTCCTTTTATATCTATATAGTGTACATCTATGGTAGCATCCATAGACTTATCTCCTTTTATATCTATATAGTGTACATCTATGGTAGCATCCACATACTTATCTCCTTTTATATCTATAGTCAGCTATAGTGTACATCTATGGTAGCATCCACAGACTTATCTCCTTTTATATCTATAGTCAGCTATAGTGTACATCTATGGTAGCATCCACAGACTTATCTCCTTTTATATCTATATAGTGTACATCTATGGTAGCATCCACAGACTTATCTCCTTTTGTATCTATATATAGTGTACATCTATGGTAGCATCCACAGAGTTATCTCCTTTTATATCTATATAGTGTACATCTATGATAGCATCCACAGACTTATCTCCTTTTATATCTATAGTCAGCTATAGTGTACATCTATGGTAGCATCCACAGACTTATCTCCTTTTATATCTATAGTCAGCTATAGTGTACATCTATGGTAGCATCCACAGACTTATCTCCTTTTATATCTATATAGTGTACATCTATGGTAGCATCCACAGACTTATCTCCTTTTATATCTATATAGTGTACATCTATGGTAGCATCCACAGACTTATCTCCTTTCATATCTATAGTCAGCTATAGTGTACATCTATGGTAGCATCCACAGACTTATCTCCTTTTATATCTATAGTCAGCTATAGTGTACATCTATGGTAGCATCCCACCAGACCAACACGGTGGGGGGGACAGGGGACGTAATTCAATCAAACAAGATTTGTAAAATGACACAACTAAACAGCGGAGACCACTTCCCTTGACTTGAATAAATTATTATAACCTGTTTACCTCCCTTGGGCGTTTCCTGGATACTTCCTCACACATTTCAAAACCCACTGTTTGGTTTGTTAGCGTTATCTTTTCCTTGTACATTTGAGACTAGATTAGTTCTAGTTCTGGTATCCTTATATTGACCACCAACTGTAGGAACAAAAAGAGATTAAAGTGTTAAACAGTTTTATGTCATAGAAAATGGTGATATTGAACATTATGCAAAAAAAGGACATACTTCATTACTACGTTCTCTAACGTTAGAGGACATATATACAAGCTGTCTACGTTCTCTAACGTTAGAGGACATATATACAAGCTGTCTACGTTCTCTAACGTTAGAGGACATATATACACGCTGTCTACGTTCTCTAACGTTAGAGGACATATATACAAGCTGTCTACGTTCTCTAACGTTAGAGGACATATATACACGCTGTCTACGTTCTCTAACGTTAGAGGACATATATACAAGCTGTCTACGTTCTCTAACGTTAGAGGACATATATACAAGCTGTCTACGTTCTCTAACGTTCAGTGATTCCAATTTTACGCCATCTTTTTTTTTTAGTTTCCTCCAGACCTCATCTGCCGATCCGATGCCCACCGTCTCACTGATATCAACCCCCCCGTTTATCCTGGGCCCTCCTGCGGCCCCCAGACCCCTGCCAATTGTTCCTCCTGTCAATTATTCTTCGTCCTGGTGGGGGGTCCGGGGCCAAATTGTTGGTCAGTAAGGAGAAGGAGAGGGAAAAAAACAACAACAAAACTTAAAGTTGCCGGGACCGGGATTCGATGTCACGCTTGGAAGCCCTGAGCATTAGAGTTAGAGAACGTAGACAGCTTGTATATATGTCCTCTAACGTTAGAGAACGTAGACAGCGTGTATATATGTCCTCTAACGTTACAGAACGTAGACAGCTTGTATATATGTCCTCTAGCGTTAGAGAACGTAGACAGCTTGTATATATGTCCTCTAACGTTAGAGAACGTAGACAGCTTGTATATATGTCCTGTAACGTTAGAGAACGTAGACAGCTTGTATATATGTCCTCTAACGTTAGAGAACGTAGACAGCGTGTATATATGTCCTCTAACGTTAGAGAATGTAGACAGCTTGTATATATGTCCTCTAACGTTAGAGAACGTAGACAGCTTGTATATATGTCCTGTAACGTTAGAGAACGTAGACAGCTTGTATATATGTCCTCTAACGTTAGAGAACGTAGACACTACCCTTAATTAATTACTTATCCGGAAATAATGTAAGTTACTTCCCTTGTTTAATAGAGCCTTTTTATTCTTACCTTCACTAACTAAATAAAAACTACCTGAAATAGTAGGCTATATATTATAGAGAGATTGTAGACTAGAGAGATTGTAGACTATATAGAGATTGTGGACTAGAGAGATTGTGGACTAGAGAGATTGTGGACTATATAGAGATTGTGGACTAAAGAGATTGTAGACTAGAGAGATTGTGGACTAGAGAGATAGACTATATAGAGATTGTAGACTTGAGAGATTGTGGACTAGAAAGATTGTGGACTATATATAGAGATTGTAGACTAGAGAGATTGCAGACTATATAGAGATTGTAGAATTGAGAGATTGTGGACTAGAGAGATTGTGGACTAGAGAGATTGTGGAATATATAAAGATTGTAGACTAGAGATACTGTAGACTATATAGAGATTGTGGACTAGAGAGATTGTAGACTAGAGAGATTGTAGACTAGAGAGATTGTGGACTAGAGATTGTAGACTTGAGAGATTGTGGACTAGAGAGATTGTAGACTAGAGAGATTGTGAAATATAGAGAGATTGTAGACTAGAGAGATTGTAGACTAGAGAGATTGTAGACAAGAGAGATTGTGGACTAGAGAGCTTGTAGACTAGAGAGATTGTGGACTATATAGAGAGATTGTAGACTAGAGAGATTGCAGACTATATAGAGATTGTAGACTTGAAAGATTGTGGACTAGAGAGATTGAGGACTAGAGAGATTGTAGACTAGAGAGATTGTGGAATATATAGAGATTGTAGACTAGAGAGATTGTAGACTATATAGAGATTGTGGACTAAAGAGATTGTAGACCAGAGAGATGTGGACTAGAGAGATTGTAGACTACAGAGATTGTAGACTAGAGAGATTGTGGACTATATAGAGATTGTAGACTTGAGAGATTGTGGACTAGAGAGATTGTAGACTAGAGATATTGTGGAATATATAGAGATTGTAGACTAGAGAGATTGTGGACTAGAGAGATTGTAGACTAGAGATATTGTAGACTAGAGAGATTGTAGACTATTTAGAGATTATAGACTAGAAAGATTGTGGACTATATAGAGATTGTGGAATATATAGAGATTGTAGACTAGAGAGATTGTGGACTAGAGAGATTGTGGACTACCGGTAGAAAGATTGTTCTCTCATTCCGTGTCGTTGACAGCTCAGACCAGGAGGCTGGGGGGCTCCCCTCCTCTCCCCCCAATCTCAGCTCCCCTCCTCTCCCCCCTATCTCAGCTCCCCTCCTCTCCACCCAATCTCAGCTCTCCTCCTCTTCCCCCAATCTCAGCTCCCCTCCTCTTCCCCCAATCTCAGCTCCCCTCCTCTTCCTTCCTCTTCCCCC